TTCAAATAAAGATAACAATAAGATAAATATAGAAAAATAGATAATACGAGAAAGAAAAAGAAGAAAATAGAAAGAAACAGAAGAGAGTAGAATATTATCGAACCAATTATGTAGTCTAAATATCATTATGACTAATTTTATCATGACACTTCTTTTGTTCACGTGTTCTTTTGAAATTATAGTAAATTTTGAATCGGTGACAATATTAATTAATTTAAAAAAATAATAATTTTATATTAATTACTTGTATTTATTGTACACTATTGAATAATTATCAAGTTATTATAAAATATTAGTATTGTATTACTATAAGATTATTCCATACTAAGTAAATATAGAAAAATATGTATTGCATAATGATTCTAAAGTATATTAATTACAATGAAATTGAGTAACTATAAAATTACTATTATTAAATATTGATTGAATACATATATTATAATATTATTTACTAGAAACCTAATTATAATATTATTATTACAAATTTTGATTGATTTTCAGTTTGTTTTCATACTATAAATAAAATCAATATATAATTAATAACAAAAGAAAAATTGGTAATAAAAGAAAATATTTATGATCAAATTTAATAAATATAAAAATAAAAATACTTTAGTTATTACTATATAAACTTTTAATTCTTACTAAATATCATAAATTGTATTTATAAGTAAAATTATAGCTTATATTTAGAGCTATAAATTAGTATATATTATTATATACTGATCTTTAATTAAACTTGAACCAGACTCAAACTTGTATAATAATTCAGTTCAAGTTCAGTTTGAACTTTGAACCTTTCTTGAACTCAAGCCAAAGTCTGATTTGAGTTTAGTTCAAATTTTGAACTGAACTCGAATTCAGACAAAAGTCTGATTTGGTTTAGTTCATAGAAATGCTAGTTGAAAGCATGACTATATAATGAAAAAAAGATTGTTAACATAATTATATAATAAAATATAATTATATAACAAAAAAAAATTGATAATAAAAGAAAAAATTTGAGAGCATGATTGTATAATAAAAAAAAAATTGTTAATATAATTATATAATAGAATATAATTATATAACAAAAGAAAGATTGATAATAAAATAAAAAAGTTGAAAGTATAATTATATAATAAAAGAAAAATTGATAATATAATTATATAATAAAATATAATCATATAATAAAAAAATTGAAAATATAAAAGAAAAAATTGATAATATAATCATATATAATAGAATACAATCACATAATAAAAAAATTAATAATGAAAAGAGAAATTAAAAGGATAATTATATAATAAAAGAAAAATTGATTATATAATTACATAATAAAATATAGCTATTTAACAAAAGAAAAATTAATAATAAAAGAAAGAAATTGAGAGCATGATCATGTGATTAAAAAAAAGTTGAGAACATACTCATATAATAAAAGAAAGATAATAATATGATTATATAATAAAATATAATTATATAATAAAAAAAAGTTTGAAATAACAAATTAGATTAATTATAACTCTTAATTACAAGTATTTTTATAATAATTATTGGAAAAAAATTAACAATCAAAGGTAAATGAATTTTTATTTCTTAAAATAATTATAATCATTTAATATAATTTTTATTTTCATTTATCTTTTTCTTTATAGACTAATAATTTTTTAGTATTTCATAAAAAATTACTAAAACTTGTAAAAATAAATATAAAAATATTCTTTTTATAATATTTATAAAATATTTTTTCACTATTTTAAATAATATTTTTATTTTAAATATTTTATATTTCACTAAAAAGATGCAAAAATATTCAATTCATAAAATCACTTTATTGAAATATGTAAACTTGATTTTATTATATATAAAAATAAAAATAAACTTTTTTTATTATATAACTATATTCTATTATATGATTGTATTAATAATTTTTTCTTTATTATATAATATACTTTCAATTTTTTTCTTTCATTATCAATCTTTTTTTATTATGTGATTATATTTTTAACTTTTTTTTTTGTTATCAATTTTATATAATTATATACTAATTTTATTTGTTATATAATATTAATATTTTATATATTATATAAGAATATTATATAATTTAGATCCAGATTCAGTAAATTTTTTGGTGAGTATTTAATATTTTTTATTAATATAATTAAATCTCTCTATAGTTATATTCATTTATAATTATATCTTTTTATAGTTACTCTATTTTGTTTTTCTATTTATATATAAATATAGCAAAAAAAATCTCTCTATAGTTATATTTTCTCTATAATCACCAAATTTTGCTTTTCTAAAAATAATAATTATAGAGAGATTAATTATATTTCAAATATAATAAAAGTTCTTGAATAAAAATATTAAGTAATTAAAATTTGTGCTCAATTCATAATAAATTAATAAGAATATGCAAATTATATGTGTATTAACAATTATTAAAGATTGATTTTATTGTTTGAATTAGGATAAGAATTAGAATAAAGAACAAAAATTTATATAAAATTATCTTTTTAATATTTTTTATTAGAGCTTAAAGTTATATTTGAACATTTGTTTCTTATATTTTTTACATTTTACATTTTTTTGTATCAAATTAATTTGTGTATTCTTATTAATTATATAATTATAATTTGAATTAAATTAAATTGTATATTATATAAAATTATCTTTCTGATTTTATTCAAATTGATTTTTTGAAATTATTTCTGGAACAAGCTATTTTAATTAGATTCATTTTTATTATATTTTTTTTGAAAAATTTTCTTTTTTTTAGTTTATAACTTTTTTTGTAAATAATTTTTAATTTAATTTTTTTTTAGAATATTTTGAACTTTTATTTTTTTGTTTATAAATATGATAATTAACAAAATTATGAAATTATATATATGATTTATTAATAAAATATAATAAAAATTAAAATTTTTGTTTTATATAAAAGTTTTTAATTTTATTAATAAATATTTTTTATTTTTATATCAAACTAAAAATTATAAGTTATATTTTAATATATATAATTTATTCTTATTAGTAAAAATATTAGAACAAGAAAAAAATCTTTATTTTATAATTTATATCAAAAAAATAATATATAATATCACTATATTAAATAAAAATTTAATAGTAATTCTGAAAAAATTATTTATTATAACAAGAAATTTATTATATTAAGAGTTTATTATATCAAAAATAAGTTATATATTTTTTTAGATTTTTAGATTTTATTTAACAAAGTTATTTTAATTACAAAGTTATTGTAAAAATTTTTTATAATTAAAATATAAAATTAATTATAAAAATTTTTATAATTACTTTGCAATTAGAACAACTTTGTTAAATAAAATCTAAAAAATTCAGAAAAAATATATGTTAAAATATAACTTATAATTTTTATTTTAATATAAAAATAAAAAATATTTATTAATAAAATTAAAAACTTTTATATATAGTATAGAACAGCAAAAGATATTTAATACTGTATCAAAAATGCCAATTTTAATTATAGATTTTATATAATAATCAATTTAACCAATCAAAATTTTTATTTTTGTTAATAAAAATCTTTAAATTATTATAACTTTTTAAAATAAAATAAAATAAATTCTCTTACAAAAGTATAATTTTATCAAAAAATTATTAATTTATAAGAGAAATTTTTTATATAATTATTAATTATTAAAATTGTCTTTTGTTATCCTTCACTATATAAAATTTTGCAATAAATTATTGAATTTATAGAAACTTTATAAGTTCAATAAATCAAAAATATAATTGAACTAGTTTAATATTTAATATTACTTGCAATTATACAAGTTAAAATCTTATTAAATAATATAATAAATTAATTATCATATTAATTTTTTATTTTTTTGATAGTTTTTTTATTGTTCAAGCTTTTTACTTATATTTAATTACTTTTATATTAATTAAAGTTTTATATAGATCAAGTTGGCTTGGTTTAAAAGCTTACAAACTGATTTATAAACTTTTAGCTTGCAAACTTTCAATTTATAAGTTTTTCAGACTGAACTGGCTTGAGTTTTTGGATTAAGTACAGTCAATTCTCTTTATAATCATATTGTTGGATCCAATAATGAATGTGCTTATAGTGAGATGCTTTTATTATGGCAGGTTTTTAAATGATGTGACTATAGAGAGGGTGATTATAGAGGATTTGACTGTAATTTTATATAAATTGAATTTCAAATTTTAATAAAAACTTTGAGATTAAATAACTTGACCAATTCTTGCACATTTTTAATGAAAAAATCACCATTTGCTTTGTTTTTAAGAGGAATCAAATGGCATAATTTTCAGTTAGCGGATAGTGAGATATTGCTGTTTGCAAGTTACGATTTAAAATGCGAAATTAAAATGTGATTTTTAAACGATTGATTTTTTGCTATCCAGTAATAAAATTTATACCATTCAATTCGTCACGTTGTATAGTGAGATATCGTTTGAAAGTCCAAAATTTTTACACATCAATCATATATAATATTGAAAATAAAGATTTTATTGATTTGGTATGTTAAAGTTGGTAAACCGTATCAGCTAGTTTTTATTTCTTTAACAATGTATAAAATTATTCAAAAATTCATTTCACCAATAGCATTAATTTCCAATCCATAACAGTGCAAGAATATTGAATTATTCTTAATAATTACAATACATTCGAGAAGAATGTGTGTACGATTACTTGATATAAAGTTACAATTTTGAAATGCTGATTAAATAATGATAGACATTGCAAATTGAAAATCTACTTTAGAATACTAGTATTATAAAAAAGAAGTATAATTTAATTTTAATTTCTAATGATTCACAACTGAAATGGATCATCTCGAGGTTTCGCCTTAGTATTATTAGCAGTTGTAGAGGCTTCTTGGGATGCAGCAGCCGACGTAGAAGCAGCTTCATTTACTTTGATAGGTGTGAGCGGCACCCAGTTATTGTGTATTGAGTTCGTGGTTGTTGCTATCACAGAGATTTGTTACATATAGTGAGTCAGTCACGAATGTATCGCCAAAAATGGAGAGACATCAGCAGTATTTGATACCTGGCTGAGATATTGGTGGTATTGAGACATCAACAAGAGTATCAGTGTTTGTTCTCAAATCCTGGTCTTCTTCGAGAACATCGAATGGATTCTCAGAGTTAACCGGAGATGGATTTGAACGATTTGGCGAGGAGATAAACACATCGAAAGGATTTGTAGAGCCATTTCTTAGTCTGTGATTTGTTGTTGCGTATTCATTTGCATCTCGTGAAGAAGATACTGTGAAGAAATTTATAAACGGAAGCATCAATAAATCTGATATGTTCAAAATAATAGCAATATGTAGATATAATACCCGTATCGTCATTCCACCATTGATAAAATTCAGAGCTTGGTTGTGGCACTACAATATTGAGCACGATCTTTTAATGAAAGGAGTAAGGCAATTATTCATAAGAAATATAATTACAATTAGACACATTTGTATCTTCAACATCGATTAAAACATTTGTCGGAGTGCCAACTGATAACGATGCTTGAATATTATTGTATAATTCTTGCTGGATTTTTTCTTTGGCTACTTCATCGTACTTTATAATCTAGAATAAAATGAAAATATGCGAGATTTCAAGCAATACTGCACAATTAAATTATAAAAAACATAATTTTTTTTAGAAAAATGTCAAACCTCTATGTTAAATAGAGCCATAACTAAAGGAAATTTGCATGGATTGAGAAAAGAGAGCATACATAAGTAATGGATCTTATGAGTATGTCAAATTCGAAAATCAGAAATCATTATTACCGGGTCTGTGATCGGAAACTTTCAATTCAGCCCTCGAGTATTCAGATTGGGTGATCTGTGATTTAATTCAATAATATGGTTAAAAATCGTATATCCATCAGTTTTTATAGTATTCACAAGTAATTCACATATTAAGAAAGGTAATCTACATTCATTCCTCGATACAAAATTCGATCTGCATTAAAAAGAATCAATCGAAATTAGCAAGAACAGAAACAAAAATATGCGTAAAACGTATTTAAACTAAAAGATAATTACCGGTCCAAGCTGGTATTCGACTTTTTTCGCTTATTTATTAAATAAAGAAAAGAGTTATAATTTTTGCGCCATTAAGCAATGGAAATTAAGAGTAAACCTAACCTAGTATCATATTTATCACTAAAAGTATCGTATTTATAAGTAGGTAGAAACGTGAGAGTCCCTTCTGTGTATCCTCGAAATACTGCACCCGATTTATGTTGTTTTATCAACTGAAACAAAATAAAAAAGGTCAAAAAAATTGTAATTATATCATATCACATTTTCAAACGAGACACTATTGCTTACTTGGTCCGATTTTATTAATGCGTGTAAATTGCCTAACGATGCAAAATTACGAACCTACCAGATAAAGAAATAATAAATAACCAGTAAAATTTTATCTTTAATAAATCAACAAAATCAGGAGAAAAAGAAATGGTTAATTACCGCTTCACTCGTCTCAGAGATTCGATAATTGAAATCTCCTAACCAGATCACAGCGCTAGAAATTAAAAATTCACAAAAAAATAGAGCAAGAATTCTTATTTGAAAATAATTCAAATTAAAAAAAACCATACTCATGATTATTAATTTGGCGACCTTGACGAAACGAAATACCATCATTAATTGTATGATAATCTCTATTTCGCTCATCATAATTAGAAAGGCCTAGATAAAAATCATAAAAATTACTGTTTATATCTCAAGTAGACAAACAATATCTGCAAAAAAACATGAAATACCTGCAGCAAAATGGGCGGTAACAAAACAAATACTTGTATCATGATAGTCCATACGAATAGCAACAGCACCTTTATTACCAGCCATTCCGCCCAATCCTGTCTGAAAATACCCACCATTAATATATTATTATTAAAGTATGGAAAGACAAAATCTAAATAAACAACTCACTTTTTTTGTTACACATTCAACATTACGAATATTGGACACGTTACTGGATTTAGCGTATATTAACAATGCTGTACCAACAAGTTGACGCGATCTCAAAGACACATATTTAATAGACCATTGTCGACGGTTGTTGAGTAAATTTGTGATTTCTTTTTCCCAAGTGCGTCTGAAAATATATTATGTTAGATTATAGCATATTAAATAGAGCTACGAAACACAATGATGGAACAACCAAAATACAGTTTGTCGGGATCTGCAGATACAATCTAGAAAATAGAAATCTTTATTAGAAAAACCTGACAACAGATTGGCATTCCTTTACTTCAATTCCCAAACCATTCACCTGTTGAGGTTTCAATTCGACAATTTCCTGGAATCCAATTACTACCAAGTCAGGCTGTTTAGAGGAATCTATTACATGTATATTACGATGTAGAAGAAACGTTCATAATTACAGAAAGAAATATATATATTTTTTTTATTCAAGTTATGCATACTTTGATGAAATGCAAAAAGCCATTGATCTATCGATTCTCTTCCAGATGGTAATTTTCCGTTTAGATTGTAGGTACCAACAAAAACACTGATCGTAGATTTTGTGGAATATTCTTCAATCCTAAAAATTCGTATTAAATATAAAAAATCCAGTCACATATACGATAGAAAAAATAAGAGGTAGTTATACAATTATACCTTTTATTCAATGCTTCCAATACCAGATCATGCACAGGGTCATGAATAGTGATTACGCTTTGATTCAATTGTTTTCCCTTTTTTTTGCAAAAAAAAAAAGAAAATCTCGTTAATTTTCAATTTTCTAGTTATCAAAAAAAAAATGATTCACTTACAAGCAGTAGGTCAATAACTTCCTGTTTAGATTTATCTTGAAAATTATTGATATAAAATCTATTCACAGATTTACTAGCATCTCCAATAACACCTTTTTTACATAAATGTTATCATGTAAATATTTACCAACAAGAAAATTTATCATGCATCAGTCATTCATCGTATGCTTACCTGCCAAAGTGATTTTCCCGCTTCGAGTAAATTCAGATTTTAGAGCCCCAGTACCTGCATAAATTTTGGAGAGACTGTCCCCATTTTCAGCCCATAAATGTGAATGGGAATAGAAAATCGTGTCAAGCTGACGAGATGTGAATTTTAATTGTGGAAGATAACTTTCTAGAATTGTGCGCGATATCGTAGTCTGAACTACATTTGTTCTGACAAAAAATAATTTTCGATCATTTAATAATCCTGCAATATTAAATGGTATAACAGGGATATTGATTTACCTGTCCAAACTAAATTTTATTACGCATGAATCAATAAAGTTAATTTTAATATATAGATAAAAGAATATCATCGAATTAACTAAAAAAATACCAAACATACCAATCCACGCAATTAGTTCTAAAAATGCCTTTTTGTTTAACTATGGGTACATTCGATTCAGTATCAAGCACAAATAACTCAAAAGCTTTTAATTCCTCTTCGATATTCACCAGCAATAACTTTACGTTCTCGTAATTTGCATTTTTGCATATCGTATTAAAATCAAAATCGGTTATTAACACCTGTGTCCCATTTGACTTCAGGATATCTATCTGATTATGATATTCTTTGGCCAATAGTGCTTCTCCTTCTTTCGGGCCAAGTAAATTTATAATGTGCAGTTCGCCGTATCTGTTTGCAAGATCTGTAAAGTGACGTTCGACGGCTGGTTGTGTGGCATCAGCACCACGCGAGATTTGCACTTTGTGGCCAATTACTTGTATTCCCTTTAAATAGAGAATAAATAATTATTAATGACAGCACAACAAAAAATAGAAAAAGATAGAGTATATTTAATTTACCTGCTGTTCCCAAAAAACTGTATTGTGTTAAATTGAAGGGCAAGGTTTAAAAATTATAAAATATAGCAAAACAAAAAAAAACCTAATTTGACATTCAAACCTGGAACACTGCCACGAATTTGCGTATAAGAAAAACACAATTTGTTAGCATCCAATATGGTCTCTGTCTAATATGCACGATTTGTTAAAGCTTATTTCTTCATTGCGAGATTTAAAATTAAAAGTAAAAAGTCTATGATGATACCTCGACAAAATTTGCTACATTCCCATCATCATCTATTCCTCGAGTGTTAAAACGTGTACCTTTAATTCATGAATTAATTTATTTATCTTATTAAATTAAATAATTTGATCTTTGCGAATCGACAAAATATTATACCTGCACGTTTACAACTTAATTTTGATATTAAAGATATTGAAATTTTTTCGGAATTAATACTAATTTCCTGTCTGCCAACATAACCTTGGATAACCAAAACCTATATATATATATATAAGTATATTATACTAAAAAAAATGTAACAAGGTAATGAATGGTAATTGCTTACCAAGGCACCACTCTGATCCAAGTGAGCTTGCTCTTCCCGATTTAATTTAGCTCTAAACCTAAGCAATCCATTAATCATATATTTATTCCAAAGAAATCGATCATCAAAAGAATACTTATCACTCGCTGATGCAAGATTTCTGAAAATTAGAGCAAATCTTTAATTGTTTATATTTTCAAAATTTCACCACAAAATTTCATCATGCACGCACCTAACTTGGAGAGTTCTGGTAAGATCAAAATCCGATGAAAAATAAAAATGTTTATTCGAAAGTAACTTTCGAAGATGAGAACATGGGTGATAAGGTCGCGATTGATCAAGAGTATCCTCTTCTTCATACATTCCAATACCACTATCCCAAGCATTGTTTGTAAGCGAATAAAATTCCACGTCCAAAATGCGATTAACAGACTCGCCGGTGCGAATCTGCCCCACAGGTTTACACTCTGTTACCACAGCTATAAAAATATCTTTGAAACCCGTGAAAATCGCATTAATTTCGGAACGGAGAAAAAACGTGAATTTCAACAATAATGAAAGATACCCTTTTCGAGCTGTATAAGCCCAAGAATCCCATAGACGTATCGACGCGAATTCAACTGACGATATCCAATCAGGCTAAAGTTCGAGCTCTTTAGAAACAGCACATTGCATTCGGGTTTTGGCGAGTTTCCATTATTCTCAAATAACAGTATTGGTTGTGGAGTTCTAAAGTGTTGACAAAGCACTAGTGAGCGCGGGTGGTCCTTGACCAAGACTAGACTTTGCATAGTGATAATAAGCTAACAACAAAGGGAAAAAGCCAAGCTAATAAACACTGGATACGAACACGCCCTCGCTTTGAAATTTTCGAATACATTATCAAAATGTAAAAATTGGCAGGTGATACCATTTTGCTGTTGGTGCAACATCATTTTTTAGTAATACCTTCAAGAAGTCGAGGCTACACAAGCAAAGTCGAACAAAAGGATGATTGACATTTTTAAATACGATGGTGATTCGAATTAATTTCCAAAAATAGTAAAAATAGTGGATTATATGACTTTTGAACTTCATCTATGTTAGATCTACCAAAAATGATGCATATACACTTGAGATATATTAATCAATCACCTATTGGATATATTTGTATAGCTACAGCTACTAATACCGCAAGTAAGGAAAACAACACGATAACTATCAAGGCCAAAGGAACTAAGATTTGAAGCGACATCAGTTTGGAAAATATTTAGTTTGTAATTAATCAGTGGAGATTGTGAAAGAAATAAACTCAAAGAAATGAATAAACTCAAACCTGCGATACCAAATTTCTCTGGAATTTTTATTATGTGTACAGTGTTATCGAAAGAGCCGCTAACAAGTAGCGACGTGTCATGATTAAAACTTAGAGCGACTGCCGGTTGTTGGTGCACGTTTGGAACTTTTAAGAGAACCTGTAAGATACATGTAATCAACGGTGTTAAATATTTACGTACAAACAGAAATAATTAGGCGCTACTGACCCTCAAATTGTCTGAACTAACAACTCCAATACTCATATCCGAAGAAGCATAAGCCAATAATTTTCCATTGTCACTACAGACAACAAAATATTTTATAATTAATTTACTCTTTCAAAATTCTAAATTACGAAGAGATAATGTGTCTGAATATTTACCTAATTGTAAAAGCAACTATGGGCTTTTTAGAGACAATTCTCTCAGCCACTTTATCCCAGGTTTGCTGATCCCATTTAACTATAAATGCTTTATTACGAGATGTCGAATTGATCACAGTGTAAAGAAAACTTTCAGATGCTTCTCTTCCAAATCTACATGTATGCATGTATGCATTATTACTAATTAGTTAAAACGTGATTTTATTTTCGCAATCATAATTACCTGCATGCCCTGAATAAACATTGCGTAGTTTTTTGAGAAATAGGACGATCAATGGTCTGGATGCATTTTCCGTCTTGAGTAGACCATACGCGCAAAGCTTTCGGTGAAATAGCTACCACCTATAAATATCAAATAATGTAAAAAGAAAAGTGTATTTAAATTTATATTTATTATAAAAATAACAGACCTGTTTGCCAGTTGTATCAAAATCAACATCATAAATCTCTTTTTGATCGTAATTCACAGGTGGAAAAGCAACATCAAGTGATGGATACTTCAAAACCATCAACTATGTAAAAATGATATAATTAGAATCGATCTCAAGGGATGGTAGAACTAATAAGAGTGCAAAAAAGTCAGATTAATACCCTACTATCAGAGCCACCAGTCGCTAAATACCGTCCATCTTTACTGAATGCGGTAACTTTCTTATATTAATTCACAAAATTATATAACAAAAGAAAATGATTGTCAAGTGTCTTTTTCTTTCTCTCGAATGAATTCATCATTCAATAATTATTTTCAGCTTACTTGATAATCATTCGGATTTTTACTTGTTAACGTTTGTATTCTATTTACTGATTGAATCCTAATATTAAAACATGGTGTTATATAACACGAATTAATAAATGGATATGATGAAATGAAGCAATAAAAAATAACATACTTCTCATTTGAATATCTAAAAATTCGACAATTTTGATTTTCACCGGCTTTAATCTTCTCTTCATTGCTATTAATAGCGCAAGCAATCACATTATCCTAACACATACATATAAAATTAATTAATCAAAAAAGCGATCATGTAAAAAATCGGTCTTTCTCAAGTTCTCAATCTTTTTTTAATGGAAAATACCTCTGGATGAAAAGCCATACTGGAAGGAGCATCTTCGTCCGTAGCAAGCTCGATTTCGGAAAGCTTATCAAGCTTCCAATTTGTTACTTGTAAACTATATAGTACCTTGTGATAAATAAGTTATTTTTATTATTTAATTATAAAAATGATAATAAAAGTATATTATTGTAATGCAAAATAATACCAGCTTATTTTTAACACCCGTTTTCGAAGCACCTCCACCACCTCCAATTAGCAGTTCACCCGCTGGACTGAAGCCTGCACAAACCTTTTAGCCTTATAATAAATATTGCAAAAGATTCAAATATGTATATGTAGGTAAAGCTGTTAAATACCAGCACAATAGACGGGAAAATCGATATCCCACGAGTGTTTTTCGATTTTTGGCATATTGTTGTAAAACAGAGTTGCTTTTAGGCACAAGTGCAATATAGAAGGTGCTCTCTCAAGGTTACACTGATTTTCCGGATATACAATAAATTATTTCGAGTGGTTCAAGAAATTAATTATCCCACAATTTAGTTGGTTAAATCTATGAGATATCTATCCTTAGTCAATCAGTGGATCTACCCTCAACCCCATCACTGCTTTGTCAAATTCATGTATCTCGAAAAATTGAGATTCGTGAGCTCCGCATGCAGTGTATATTAATGGAATTTCAGTTACTGATGGAATGTCTTAGTACCCAATATTTTATATGAATATCCAAACAAAAAATAATATTCAAAATAAAGGGTCGGTGATTCCTACAATCTAGATATTGAATACTTTTTTTATTTGGCAGTGTAATTAATTAATTGTTCGTTAAATAATTCCAAAATTCAGGTAGTTAATACAATTTGGTAGAACTTGTTTACCATTTACCTCCCTTCTTTTTCTTCTTTTTGTGTTTATCACCACCACCACCACCACCACCACCACCACCACCGCCACCGCCCTTGGGTTTACTTGGAGGTTCCTGTTGATTGGATTGATTTACAACATTTTGTTCGGGTGTTCCTGTGTTCGGACTTATCAAGTAAAAAATATTAACTTTACAGTAATGGTTAAACTTTTTAATTAATAAATAAAATAAAAATACCTTTTTCCAGCAATATTTGCACTCCCAGTTCCACCGATTCCTCCGCCTGCAACAGCGACACCTTGTGGGCCCTTCATTAATTGTTGTTTTCTTTTTCCTTTTACTTTGTAAGTTGAGCGTTCTCGTTTAGGCAACCACCGTTCAGGATCTGGTGGAACATTAGGATCAAAATTTTTGGGCAACAGTGGTTTTCTCTTCCTCTTTTTCTTTACTGATGACTTCCCCACATTGTCACTGTAATAAACATGTGATGATAAATGACTTGGTTATTTTTATCGAGAATCAATTCTCAATTTTGATTACCTTTTAGCATCGAGTTTTTTATAACTCTTTTTTACACCGGGAATATTTTTTTCGAGAGAATCAACATCGATATCTTTTGAATGCTTAATAGTTGCTAATGAGCTTTCGTATTTCTCAGCCAAAGAAACATCACATTGAGAATATGCAACAATGAGTCCGGCTAATGCTTGCGAGTCCTCGGGGTTAGCTTTCACAAGTTGCTCATAATCTTGTGCAGCTTCAGAAAAGCGGCGTGTTTTAAGTTTAAATGCCGCCGTCTGTTTTAATATCGAAGAACTTTGCACCGACTGAATATCATTAAAGCGTCAGTATTGGGTGTTCTTTTTAATCTTATAAATCACACAAAAGAATTGGAATTACCGCAGCATCACTCTTTGAAAAAGATCCCGCTTTCTCCAAAACATGCACAGATTTATCCGATTGTCCAGACTTCTCATAAAGCCAAACTAAAAGTCCTACCAAAGCAGGCTGGTATCTCGCACCTTCATCTTCAAGTGACTCCAGATACTTTTCAAGTGTTGCTATCGACCCTTGAATATTTGATTGCAATAGCTGGAGTTGTATCAGCGCGAAATTTATTGGTAAGGAAGTGGATTTAGTTTGCGCGTATTCTTGTAATTCCTGGATGGCTTTGGTGGTCTTTTTTTGTCGATAGGATATCGAAGAGAGCAAGACATAAAGGTAATCGTTCTCTGGATAAATTTGTAGCAATTTGCGGGCTGTATCTTGACAAACTGAATACTGCAAAAAATAATTAGAAAATAGCGTGAATAAAGGAATTAATCGAATCCATTTTTTTATATATGGTAGAAAGAACCTTATGCATGTAAAGGGATAACAGGGCCTCATTAATGGCAATAGCTTGTCGTTGGACTTTAAATAACTTCGTTTCTAAGTTTTTGGCAGATGCTGCACGCAACTTACGCGCTGAATCAAACACATCATTTTCTTTCCGTGCTACCACCAAGTTATTCGAAGCTATAGCCAACGCAGTCATATCGGCAGCTCTATAATTGAATATTTGAAAAAAATACCATTAATTAAATTCTAATAGAGATGAGTAGCAAATAAAACGTGAATTCGTACTTTGATTTAATTACTGATTGACAAAGATCAGTTGCCTCGTTAATTCTACCTTGTAGTTGATGTACATAAGCCAGCTGTACAATTATTGTGGCAAGCTCTCGCTCAATCTCCTTTTCACTATAATCTTCTTGTGAAAGTGACTTGCGACACACGACTTTATTTTTATTAAATATACCTCGTAAATTTCCATTTTTAATAACGACACAATCATCAAAAAAATCATATTGTCAGCTTACTTTTTGCGGTTTTAAGTAAATTCTCAGCTTGTTTTAAACGACCTTGTGCAATCATACTACAGGCTGTATTGTAAGCCAATTCAAATGTGTTGCTGCTACTAACATTATCCGCTAAAGTGTACTTTACGCATGCATACAATAAATATAGTAAATATATGATGAAAAAGCTTGAGCCAATTCATTTGAAAAAGGATCTACTCACTTTTTCATTCGGTTGTCCTCCAGAAAACAGCAATGCCGATTTCGCAGCAATGAAATTTGTCAATATATCACTGTACGAGTCATCTTTCTTGTTGATTTTCAATTAGAAAAATACGATTAAGACGGTTTTTTAAACTAATTATTATTGAGCATTAGCAGAAATGAGTACCTTATCCTTTTTCTGTAAGATGTTATAATAAATTTCCAAGGAATCTGAAAATTCTTCCATCCTATATGCCTATTAATCAATCAATTAATTGATAAAAAATAACCATATCTTATCAATTATAAGTGAAACTCCAAATTATACAAACCGCTTGTGCTTCTAAATGCCATAACCCCATCTCTTCATTCTCAGCACCCTTATATTTTCGACAAAGATTCAAAACTTCGCCCCACTGATTCAGCCGATAAAGACAATATGCTTTCACAGCGACAAGTTTATCCTCGGGCACATTTTTTGTCAGGAATTCGAGAGCATTCTGATATTTCTCAAGACGAATCAAGGAAATGGCTTTGCAGTGAATTGCGTCAAAATCTTTGGCATTAAGTTTCAGTACTTTTAATGCGAAGCAAGTAATTAGTTCATGGTGGTTACAGCTATGACCGTACATACATGCAAGTTCTTACTTTTGTCTATGCTTTTCAGTGCCTTGTTATACTCTCCTTGGTTAGTAGAACGGTCTATCTCACTAAAGAGTTGTAAAATGGTAGCTTCTTTTGAAGCGTCTTCTTGTGTAGTCATATTTCAAATCTAAAATGAAATTTTCATTTCTTTATAAATTTTTGGATACTATTTATACGAGTCATGGGATCTAACTCAATAGAATTTTATTTTTCGAGAATGCAAAGATGTATTGCTTGATTGATTGATTGAACGAACGCTCGCGTATGAGCGTGTGACGGTAGTAATTAATGAATGTTTGATAGATAGAAAGATAGATTGACTGATTGTCCATCCTTGCAAACAATCACACACAAATTGTTATTACACTAAAAAAATATCTAGTTGAAAGACTTCGCACGCGTGCGTTCACAATGAAAATAAAAAACATACCAATAAAAAAAGGGACATTTATACGCCAGAAATCTAGCTTGTCATGATTTGTTGATGAAGATGATGATGAATGGATGATGGTGGATGAGATGCTTTTATACACAAAAAATTCACAAGTAAAAATAATAATAGTAATAATAATATTATTAATAGCATTAATATACGACGAGCAAGCGATAGGCGGCGATATACCCTATAATTTACTATCAACGGTTTCTTCCTGTTCCGATAATACTATTGTGGTAGTGGAGGCAGTGGGGAAGTTATTGTTGTGGTGGTTGTTGTTGGAAGCCTATCACAATAGGCATCAATGAATAATAAATAATACGACAAAAATCACACATTAGAGAGATGAAATAACAAAACAAAGAAAAACATTACAATATAAGCTAATAAACTAATTAATTACATTTTATCATTGTGGCAAAGAAATAATTAAATAACGAAAGAGGGAAAGGAAATATAATAAACAGAAAAAGTTCCTCATTAAATCCAAGAAAAATGCGATAACTGAGCACTTTTAAATTTTACCCACCTGCAAGCAATGCCTTCTCGGCGAAAAACTTGACGTCAGCATCGGAATCTTCTCGTAATTTTTCCAATGCAGGTTTTACTTGTGTGTCTAGCAGAGGAACCGTCTCGGGACTCTGCCTGAGAACGGGTATTAGAACTTCATAAGATTTGGCTACATTGAATCGGATATTTGGAATTGGGTCAGAAACAAGGTTGTTTACTGTGGGAAGGATGTGATCTCGGATAACTTCAGGAGTAACAGCAGGTGCCATCGTCTAGAAACAAAATAAAATTATTATGAATTCTTTTTTAAGGGGAATTTATTTAGAATGTTATTAAACATTTCCACTATACAAACCGTGATCGCAAAAATTGTTGTCATTCTATACAAATAATTTGGGTGGTTGCCCATGGCTAACACTTTAGGTATGATTGTGTTCTTTGCCCATTCAACGCCAAATGTTTCTGTCAATTTTCTCAAGTTCACAGTTGCCGCTTCTCGAATGGAATATACAGGATCGCCTAGCCATGACATGCAAAGATTCCCGAGTTTTTCGTCAAAAAAGTCAACTCCCAATTGTCTGGCCAAAAGTGGAATGTAATCGATAATGGCTAATCGAACTCGCCATTGCTTGTCTTCTGCTAGTTCAACGATAGCCGGCAAAAGATTCTGCGACAAGAGCTCTATTCCAATAACTAGCAATAATAACAATCACCATAAAAAAAATTTGAACAAGGAATAAAGAACCTAAATAAATGATGAATCACCTTTATTAACTTCGTCAAGTTTGGATATGATGTTTAGTCTTACGTCAGGGAATTCGTCTTTCAGAAGCTGCAAGAACAAGGGCAACAGATGCTCTGTTGTGCTAATAGTTCAAAAACAGCAACACATATATATATGTGTGTGTGTGTGTGTGTGTATATATATATATGATAAACTTTGAGAAACGCAAAAAAGCAGCTTTCTCATTATATTATATAATAATCAACACATACGCTTCTTTGCCCAAAATTGGTGCTAGCCCGCTTATTTTGGTAGCCAAACTCGCGCGAACATGTTGAGATGTGTCAGTCACCAAATCTTTTACACATGGCAAAATGTGGGATAGAACAAGCTGCTTATCGACATATTTTGCAAATCCTACATTTTAATTTATACGATTTTGTAGATATTAATATTGATAATTGTAACGGACGAAGAATTTATCAAATACCTGGAACTTGGCCAGAAGCGGCAGTTCGAACTTCTGCCTCGTTATCTTTCAATAGATGAACAAAAGCAAGAACCAAATCATCCCTCGTAACTTCTTCCCCGACAGCTTCTGCTATCTGCAAGCATCCAAATAATATGGAAATAATTTTTTTGACAAAAAAGCGAATATATCAAGAAACCATACGACCAACCTTGACAAAGTTTTCCGCAATCATGTATCGTACTCTCCAACTTTTATCTGATACCATACTCCTGAGTGTTTGCAAGAGATAAGTTTTACTTTCTTCCTTTGTCAAAACCTCTGCAATTGCAACTAGATCCTCAACAGTCAGCAGTCGAACTGAATCCTGCTCATCTTGAGCAAGTTTGCTGAAAAGAGGAATAATATCAACAATGACTACTTCTTTTGGGATCTTTTTTGCGAATTTCTTTTCAGATACAAGATCAAAATTAGAACTAAGTTTTCTTAATAGATATATCAGAAGCAATAGTATATGCATTGGCATACCCCTAAATTTGAAGCAGCTGCCCTTCGAACCATTGGTGTGTCATCTTGAGTTAATAGTTTGAAACTGTTACGTAATTCATCTTGAGTCGCAGGTGTCGCTGTTTGATAACCAGCCGCAAATAGCCCGCAAGCACTTGTGCGACTGGTAAACCAATCCCCAACACTTAGGCGTTTTAGCAGGGGTATATAATACTCTTCGATTTGTTGTTGGGAAAGTACTTCGGCGATTTTCGTCAAGGATTCAACAGCCTATTAATTAATGATATACGTTATTAGTTAAAGATTAAAAAAGATTATACATAATAACAAACTTACCTTTTCTCTGACCAAGGTTTCTTCAACGGCGGCCAAATTTTCCAATGGATTTAGAATAACATGTCCATGCTCTTTTCCGCCCACGTATTCAACGAAGTTTCCTAATTCTTCTGCCAAAGCAAGAAGAACTTCGTCTTCGTCATCGATAGATTCTACATGAACATAGAAGATAAGTCGAATTGAGAGGGAAAACTATGGAAATTCGAATATAATTGAAGAAATAATTCCAAGTTAAAGCTAATCAAATGTCTGCTTCTTTATTTGCTTTATTTAAAAATCCATGCATAGTTTTCCTAGTTTAAGAGATATTTCTTTCCGGCGATGTTGGCACATTATTCCAATGATAATCTAATAGCATACCAGCGACCTTGCTATTTGAAGGTATTTTTTTTTTAATATTTACACACTAACTAATACAATTCTTTTGGCCTCCTCGCCTCGTGATGCATGTGTTTAATGCAAAACTCTAACCTTTGTTGAAGAGTGGCTCGAGGTGCCGTTTGTGAGACTAATTCCCCCCACCACTCACCATCAAGAAACGGTATAAGTTCATCACGAGTTCTCTGAACCCCAAGAGCTAAAGCGATTGTAGAAAGCCGCCGAATGGCATTAAGTCGGAAGTTCACATCGTCAGCTCTTAGCTCATCGAGTAGTACAGCGATTGGGTAAAGTGAGTCATCTTCAACTTCGGCGTTCATCATATAAATATATAAGTATATCTAGCAAAAGAAAATGTATATAGTGTTCTCTAAAAGTTTTTTTTGGATGCGAACTGCTGTTCCCTCCCTCTTTATCCTTTTTCGTTTAAGTTGGTGGTGGTGCGTCCGTCGTACCAAACTTGACATTCTTAGGTGATTGATCTGCCATCGACGTTGATTGGTTAGTCAATAAGGAGAAAACGATTGGCAGCATCAACATCAAGGTTAGCATTCATATCGTCATTATCGTTATCGTTATCGTAATTAACACGTAAGTTCTGCATTAATCGATTTTATTACTTTTGATTGCTATATACTAACTGTACTATATATACTACTAACAATCAATGAATGAGAATCAAAGAGAGTAAGGAAGAAGAAATACGCGTAGTTAATTCAACAATGAGAGTCTTAATTTATCGACGCTGCTTTTTAAGTTTTTCCGTGCATTCTTTACAGTACCATTTTCCCTTTGGTGGCGCTTTAAGTTCCACGCACGGATAATGGAACCATTCGATCTTGCAATCGGAATTATCACAGGCAACCATTTCACCGAAACTAACTTGTTGGCAATAACAGTAGACAGGTTCGTTAGGATCGATTGGCATGTCATTTGGCTGTACAGTGTTATTGTTGGTGTTGTTTGCGCTGTTGTTACTACTGATTGTACAAAATTTTATTAGTTAGATTAATATAAAACCACAAAGTTATATATATATATATACTTTTTGCTAGTCTTTGGTTTGGTCGTTTTAGATGGATCTCCTCTGCGAGCCTTTGGTTTTGTCTTCTCTCGTTCCTTGTCTGCGTGTCCTCCTCGTGTATGGGTTGGTGGTGGTGTGCCGACTTCTTTGACAGCCTTTCTTCCTAAAATTTGAGAGAAAACATTTATTAATGCTAATTAATAGTAATACAGTCAAAATTCGTTATTTTTTGAAGTTTTTTCAATATAACAGATAAATTTTTTGTTTTTGAGCATGATAATTTTTCGTTAAATGCGAGTTTCATTATCTCGCATGTTCCTTGTAACGAGTTTTGACCGTATTCAAGCGACGTCACAGATCACTTACTTTTAGGAGCTGGCGTATCTTGTGCTATATTAGTGGAAATAACAATAAAAGATTGCGTGTCAAAATCAACTTCGAAAATGCATAGACTCGAAGAATCGAATTCAAAAAAACACCTTGTTGATTTCGCCTATCCGCTCTAGAAGTTTCCTTTTTCTCCTTCTCATTCTTTAAATTCTTATTACGAATAGTCTCCTCTTTTGTGACATTGGTTGTAATAGTAGCATTGATCCTACCAGGTCCAGTCATTTGTTCGTCTTCGAACTTTTGTAGGTCGTCATCCAGACGTCGAATATGACGATCAACCTAATTACCAAATAGAAGTGAGCACTATTGTTGGCTTCCTTACTACCATAGAAGTATGATTAAACAAAATACACACTGTGTCATAAGTTGAAGTTGCCAACGAAACTTTTTCTTCGCCATTTTTCAAAGTTTCGTTCATTTCATTACCAAGCTTTTGCAGTTGTTCTTTTCGCTGAACAGGCGTTAGGGATTGTAGGTTGTTTATTAAAAAGATTGCCTGTTGTGTCACTTTTTCCATTGAAGCTAAGACATGAAGAAATTGTAAGATTAACTCAACTTTGATAAATATTTAAAGAATTTTTGACTTACTGTGAGCATAATTGTCAAGCTCACGCATGAGTGAAAAATTGCGTTGAAGCTCCATGGGAAGGGCTTCAATGGCTTTTCACAAAACAAGAGAAAGGAGAATGATTATTAATAAATGTGTATAAGAAAATCAATTGCGTGAGAAACGGTCTTCAATTACTTACTATCTAAGTAGTCATCTAAATAAGCTAGGTTGTCTTTTTCATTGCGACTATTGGAAGTTTCAGAATTACGGTTTGCAGTGGTGGTTGTAGTAGAAGGTGGTTTCGCGACGAAAACTTCTTTTTGAGCCATTGAAAGGTAAGGGGAGATTTCGTTTTAAACATGCACGTGAGATTATATTAATACCTGAGATTTGGCCATCCCCTAACGTTAAACTTTACCCAGCTCGATTCTTCAAGTAATTTGTTAAAATTACAAAATTTGGGGATGGCTAAAGCGGAGCAGTCCCGTGACTCATAAAGTTATTTATTCTATCGGGAAGTTTACGGACAGTGCTTAGGGACAGTGCATGATCACGGAAAATTTACGTTAAAGATTATATCGTTTGATTAGGGTTAGGGTTAGAGCCGAAGATAAGGTTATATGTAAAATTGCTTTTCCGACATTTTTTATTAGTACTTCAACTTCAAGCTAGATTTTGACATCTGTTTTCCAAATTTTTCACATTTTTTATTTTCTTGTGTCGAAGGTCACGTGATTTAGCACTGTTTCTGAACACTGTCCGTAGACTTCCCGTTATTCTATAATATGGCTCATGTGATATTATAAAGTTTTTATTCTCTTGCATTTTTACAGATCTCTACATTTTGTTCTTCTCATACTATCATAAATCAAATTTCTTTATTACTTTTCAAATTTTGAATGTTGTGAATTATTTTAATATAATAATATTATTTTGTAATATTATAAATCAAATAGAAATATTATTAAAATATAATTCAAATGATTTTATTTGGAAAAGTATAGACTATGTTTTGTATTGGTTTTTTAATTTTTGTACAATATCATTTGATATTGTGATATTTCAAGAGATTATTGTATGAAGAAAATTATTAATAACTTGAAAACAAGTTCAGACACATAATTATATTGTACTAAACTAAAATCATTGCTTTTTTTAAAGAAATATTTAAGTAAAAATTCATAATTACATAATATTATATTAAAAATAGGTATGTAAATTTTATTTCATTATATTATTATACATCTCATAAATTTCGATTTAAAGAACTTTAATGACTAATCTTCAAGTTTTTACTATTATGATCCAAATATTCTATAACATAATTATTTTATTGATAATTAATTACTTTTATTATAAATATAGTTGATCTTATAACTGTAAAAAAGCAATTTATAATTAATTAAATTTAACACATAATAAATAAAATATCTTTAATTAATATCTATTACTTAATTATCTTTATTATTAATATACAAAATTTAACTAAATAATAATATTTATTGCACACTATATTGAACACTCAATCAGGTTACTAAAGAATATCAGTATTGTATTATTTTAAAACTGTTCTCATACTAATAAATAATAGAAATTTATTAGTAATAGTGATAGTTTATCTTAATAATAGAAGAAAATGCATTTATTGTGCATAATTTTGAAATTATATAACTTATTATAGATCAATTTATGAAAGATATAATTAATAGTTATAATTGAAAATAAGTCATGATTAATAATAAACATCAAGAAGAGCTCTAAAAATCAAATTGTAATATTACTTCTTTCTATTCTTCTGTTTGTTTATTTATTATTATTATCAATTTGTATACTTCAAATCTGCTTTTTTCAAATATTTGTTAAAATATTTTCCATATATTGACAATAAATAATTTAATAATATTATAAATATATTTATAAAAAATATATTTATATAATAATAAATACTTATTATAAAACAAATAATTATAGTTTATCAAAGTTAAACCAAGAGTATTTTTTTCTTTTTCAATTCTATTTATTACTGCACAAGTTTTTTTGATAAATATTTATTGTATTAAATAAAGAAATTTATAAATTTCTTCAAGAATTTTCTCATTTCTTTTATAGATAAATATTTTTTAACACAAAAGTTATATAATTAATAAAAATATTTAAAAACTATATTAATTATTTAAATAATTAGAAATATATTAATCAAGTCAAAAATAAAGAATATTAGTCTTTTGAATTTACTATAATAAGATTTTAAAGGATTAGTAATAATAACTTGTATAAGAAAGGAAGAACGTTGACATGCATAAAAAACTTATTTATATATAGTTCATTTATAATTTCTTTGAATATAGTTTTGATAGCAAAAATTTAACAACTCTTGATGACTTCAGTAACTAGTTATTTATATTCAATTTTTGTTATTTTATGTATTATCATAATTATTTTATTTCATGTTTTTTTTTATAGATTTTTGTTATTCATGTTTATATAATATAAATAACACAAAATATAGTTTCGCACTTTTATTTATTAGTCTAAAGATCAGAAAAAGTTTTCTTAATATTATTAACTTTAATATTACTTTGATTTATAAGAATATAGTGAGAAGTTCAATATTAACAATTATATCTAATAATTATAATAGCTTTTGCAATTATATCATTATTTTTCTTACTTACAAAAAAATATATTCTAATATTTCAATATTTATAACTATTATTAGAGTTTTGAAAAAAAGTCTGGTTAAGTTCGAGCTTGAACCAGACTCGAACCTGACGAAAAGTCCGGTTCGAAAATTCGAATCTAATTAAAAGTCTGGTTCGAGTTCAGTTCAAATTTTGAACCAGACTCGAACTTGACAAAAAGTTTGATTCGAGTTCAAGTAAATGTTTGTTGATGTTCTAAGTAAAGTTGTAGACCGTAACATGAGCTACAAATTGATATAAAATAGTTAATATTTAGGATGAATATTTAAGAAGTTATATGGATTTAAAAAATAATTTTAATTATTACGATTTTAATCT